TCAAAATATTTATTAAAATATTTTAATTTACATATACTTATCTGTGTTTATTCTACTAGTTGATGATAAATAGCTAATCAAATAATTCCATTTATAATTGCAATCGTAAATGCCTTTCGTTTATTTGATTAAATGTGAGAATAGCATTAGTTTTAAGTAAATTTAGCAAGTAATAAGATAATTAATTTTTAATTATTACTATTTTATACTTGTTATATAACAAATTTGTTTAAAATATTCATGCTTCTGTTGAGGAGACAAAATGTAGATTATTTGTTTTCTGACTAGGAGTGAGGAAATTCAATAATTATATATTTTGTTTACATTTTCATTCAATTATTGTTTCCAATATAAATTGAAACATTATCATATTATAACTTTAATTGTGAAAATATAATATATTATTTTCATTATATCAAAGTGCTTATAAAGTAGTAATTAAAGAAATAAGATTTACTTTAAACAAAATATTTAAAAATTGGAGGTCTAAATTAACATTTAAAAACTCTTAGATAAGAATTGACTTGAGAAATGGAACTGATGCAAAAATATCAGTAATATTAAACATAATGTATAAAATGTTTTAATGTAAATCAGTTATTTATAAAGGATTTAATTACAGCAGAAGTGTATCATTTATTATCAAACATTAACATAATATAAGTAATTAAATTTAATAAAAGGGTGTATTTGTATATAGAAGAGTTTACAACAATCTATCATATATTCTAATTTATATCAATTAATTGATTTTGTTTATAATTTGTCCATTATTGAAATAAAGTTCTGTTTTGATGATTTATATGCATAATAATGTGTAATATAAATACAGTAGTGAATAAATACTTTCAAGCATTTTACTTTAAAGTAAAATAAAAAGAAAGATTCTATGGTTGTAATATTAAGTTCATCAGAAATTATTAATATATAGAGTTAAAAATATGTATCCATAAAAAACACGTATAAATGTGTTGACAATCCAATAACATTTACATAGACTTTAATTTGTAGAATTTTTTTATCTATTGTTTGATAATTTTTTTATAAATAAGTAAGCTGTACATTTATACTATTTGGGTTAATTGAAGCTGAATTAAGAATGCAAATGAAATTGGTAGTTTTTTAAATATATTTTAGTATAAACTACAGTTGATATGGTAAAATATCTCTATTACATAACCTATCTTGCAATTATAAAAATACCAACTTTAACTGGCCATGATATAGAATATGGATACTTTTGTATCTACTACGATTTGTATTTGAACAAAGAATTGTACTTAGAAATATTTCTAATTTTTTGGGAAAAATTTACATTTCTGAAAATCTATTTAAATAATATAATTACAAAACATTTGCTTGTTACCTTATATAAAGAATAATTATTAAAAAAGATTGTATAAATTCAAAATGAAAAATTAATTGGGTTGAAATACGATATTATCCACACAAATCTATTTAATAATTTTTAACAATTTAATTTCATTTTAATCTTGTGTAAAAAACATAACATTTTAATTAAAATTGGTTGAAATTAAAATTGGTATTATTTTGTATATATAAAATTTAATTAAAAATGTCTATATATCTTTATTTAATATTCATAAAATAGTTTATCAAACATAAACAAATGATACATATTTAATTCATGATTAATTAAGATTAACAATATTTTAATATTTTGTTATATTACTTATATCTTTTATATCTGTTATAATCTTTAAAAGCTAATAATTCAGTTCAAGTTTACAAAGTTGGAACTGCTGCAGTGATGACAAATTACTGTTGTCCTTCAAGGCATTTTATTAACCAACTGAGTATGAATATGTTGCTGTATGTATTAATGTGCCTATATATTTACGTTTTTGTTAACCATATTAGAAACTTAAAATTAATCATATACCTGATATCTACATGTACATGTACATATACCTTGAACAAATTTTATTGCTTTTAATTTATTACAATTAATTGCATCTTTGAAATTTATTTATACATACAAGATGGCCATCATTACAACACTAATCAACTAACTACATGGATAAGTAGATTAAAAATTAATTATAAACCGAGGAAATTGTCTAAAAACTATTATAGCTTGAATACCACATATAATTTTTTATATTAAAATGTATGTAAAAATGACAATGATTGATCAAGGATAAGGACTTTTGACAATTATGTTGATTTATTTTTTTTTTAAATTTATTGTAATAGATTTTTTATTTCACAAAATTCAATAAAGTATTTTCTTATCAAATTTTCTGAAAATTTACTATGATTCAACTAATGAAAATATCGTAGTATTTACTAAAATTCGTGTTTAAGCTACAAATTAAATTAATTTGTTAAAAATTAATTTGTTAATAAATATTGCATTCTGTGTAATAATTTTTTAGTGTAAATTATTAAACACTCGTAATCACATATTAAAATTCGTAATCATTAAAAATATTTGAATAATATGGTTATACGATAACGAAATATTTAAGATATATTTCATGTTCAATTAAATACAATCCAAACTTGTCGCTAAATTTAGATTTTATACTACATCATTTAACAATTATCTTTACGCTTTTGCTGATTTGTATCACTTTCCATAAATCACATTATCCATAAATCGTTACTATGTATTCATCTTGAATTGTAATACAATTTTCTTTATGTTCAGTTATATTTGTGTAAAATTTTATTTTAATTCATTTGTAATTAATTGTATAATAGATTAATTTTTATAATTATTAAAATCATGCTTAATATCTGTAAAATATGATTAATAAATAAAAATAATTAAATTAATAGTTTAACAATTTTATAAGTATATATATATATATATATATATATATATATATATAATGTAAATGTTAAAAGTCTATGCAAATAAAAAAAATTTTTCATCATCCTTCTGTTAATTAAATAAATTTATGTTACACAATAACTGCTGTAAGTTTGACTCCTTACTTAAGGTACAAATCGTCAGATTATATGTTATTTAAATAAGTAATATTTTAATAATACAGCAATTAATTATATTATAGAAAAAGAAATAATTATAATAAATTTGCTTTATTTATTAAAAAAAAAAACTTTTCTACACCTGATTACTCTTTAATTTTTTTAAGTTTCGATCAGATTATCAAGAGAATCGGTTTCGCTGGAAAGCATTGTAATATCTCACGGTACTATCTACGATATTTGCAATGAATTAAGAAAAAATAAAAAATAACTACGTATACATTTGAAAAATGGTAAGATATCAATTAATTCAAATATAAATTGTTAAAATTACTTTGAAAAGGCTAGAGCATAGTATAGTTCATCAATTGTAATAAAGTAAAATCATCGTTACATCATTATCATTATTGTATATATGTGAATATACATATTTATATTATAATTTTAATTAATTTATGTTTTTTATTTATTAACTGTTGTATATATTTTCAATTTGAAAGGATGATGATATGACATTAACATAATTTTTTGTTTTATCTTCTTTAAAGTAAAGTTAATATTTTCCATTGTACAAAAATGACCATATTTACAGAATTTTACTACGTACAGAGTTTTCACAACATAAGTTAATTTTTTTATTTTTATAGAACACTTATAGATATTTATAGAATTCATATTTTATATTAAATACATACTTAGATAAATCATCTTGATATATAAATTGTGTATATATGTATATATTTATAACGTGTTCATAATTATCGTTAATTTTGCAATAAATATATTGTACAATTACTTAGAAATATTTTTTTATAGTTTTGTTACAATATATTATATATATGTTAATATATATACATTTTAAACATATTAGGTATTTGAGTTTACTTAATTTAAAACTGAATCCTACAATTTTATATTTTTGAAATAATGAAATTTAGTATAATATTTATAATATTGTTTTCAAATTTATATAGAATATCAAGCATATTCTGTGTTTAGAAAAGTGTGTTTTATATCTTTATACTAAAAATATAAAAACTGGAAAAATAAAGTATGTATCAAATAATAATTATAGAATATAGTATATATTTAAATTATTTATCATTTTTACAGCATAATATTAAGTTTTAATAAATGATCTAAGTCATGATTTTTGTAAAAGAGCTTTTTTAAAAATATTCATAAATAAGACAATCAAATATACATATTTGTTAATATTTATTACTAACTCACTCATGCATTAAATATAATTATGAATGTTACATGTGCATACATATGAACATATTTATATTAAATTTTTTTATAGATCTTTCAAGAATTATGAATCAACAATTTAAAAAATTAAAATTATAATTATTTTACGTTTTCCCCAAATGTAGTTAGATGATGCAATTAGAAGAAAAAAAAATTATAAATTCATATAAATTTAAGAAACAATGATTTTTCCATAGGCAAAATATAAAAAAGTCTTGTATTTAATGTTTGTAAATTTATATTAATAATGCGAGTGATTATTTACATTTTATATATAACTTTCTATAGTTATATTGTTACATTAATAAAATAACAATTATACCCATATTTATCATATTTGTGTGTTATTAACAAATTCAATAGTGTATATGTTAATAACATACTAAAAATTAATTTTTTTTACAAGTTAAAAAATAGTTGAAAATATAAATTATATAAAACAATAAATGTGTGATGTTATAAAATTAAAATAAAAAGTAAAACATAAATATAATACTGAAGTAATTTTTAGTTCTTAGGTTTAATCATATACATAAACTGAGAGTTGTGTAATATTTATCAAAATATAAAGATTCAACAAAAAATAAACCCTTTTATTTTGCAGTGTTCATTTAATACAATTGTTGAACATATTATTGGTACAATAGTGCTTAATTTATAAAATAAACATCTCAAATAATGCGATATTAATTGAAAAAGAAAAGAATTAAATAACATAAAAATAAACAAGAATAAAATTTTTACCCTTGTTGTATTTCAGATCAATTTTGAGCAAATATCTGAATTTCATTGCATCTATTTGTAGATTATCCATCTACACAAGTAAAAAGTATCAATCGAATTTTAAATCTCTTGATACACTGTTCATACTCGGTTACTGTCGGTATTTATCGACACAATCGGGTTTCTCTTGATCTCGACGCCGACGCCGCGACGCCCGTATGACGTAGCATCATGGCGATAGATTATTATAAACGTTTTAGTGTGCCCAATACATACAGTCGTTCGAAACCATAAAAATTTGATTGAACAACTTTAAAATCTAACTTTTTTCAAGTATTTCAAAAGAAGGTATATTAAATTATGGAACTGAATTTTAAAGAAAAAAAATTAGAATTACACAATTGAACGTATCCAGTCAGTAAATGCAGCAGCGCGCATATTTAAGAATACATTGATTAAAACGCGCCCGGCTCGTACATTCATATTTTCTTTATACTTCGATATATATGCTTGGTAAACGACTAAGGAAATTATCTCTGCATTTGTTACTCTAATCATGTGAACAATCGAATTGGGAAAATATAATTTTTAGGAGGAATTATTGGACACGATAAAAACAAAAGGTTTAAAGATTATGTCTTTACTAAGCATTGCAGGTATGACTATTCCTTATTTGCATTAACCATGAGAGTACTAGCATTAATTGTTATATAATATATTAAACTTTAATATTGATTGTAATGTCGCAATTTAAAATATAATAATTCTCTGCATAGATAACTATCCTATATCTTTAAATTCAAATAAATTATAATTTATTTATAAAATATTTTTATCATTTTCTTACTTAGTGATAAAATTAACATCAAGCTACATTGCTGTACTTAATCTCGTGCTGTTTTATTCCTATTTTACTTTGATTTTTATAAGAACTTAAGTACATTTTGATATAATATTCAACCAATCAAATTTATTAATATTACTTTTACTCATATTGAGCTCAATAGTATTAAATAAATGAATAATAATATTTGTTGATAATAATAAAATGAATAATAATATTGTTGATTTTTCTTCGACCGATTAGTTAAACCTTTTTTCATTATTGTAAATAATAATAATTATTTATTATCACATGTATATTAATACCTCGACATATTTTACCAGCGTTTATAAAATATAAAGTTACCAACTATTTTTATAATAAAAATTGCTATTAAATTTTTTAATTTAATAGTTTTTTGTATAATATAAATATAAATAAATTTCATTTATAATTTAAAACAATTATTATTCCACATAATTATTTCTAATAGTTGTTAGTAATGTTTGTAATACTACTTATATTGTTTTATTTATAAATTGATTATATTAAATATAAATAATGTATTTTTTAATTTCATTAATTAAAAAAAAATTACAAAACTAATAATTTTATTATTAAAATAAAAACACTATAAGGTATAAATTTATCTTTCTGTCTATATATCTGTCTGTCTGTCTGTCTGTCTGTCTGTCTCTCTCTCTCTCTGTCTGTCTGTCTGTCTGTCTGTCTGTCTGTCTGTCTGTCTGTCTGTCTGTCTGTCTCTCTCTCTCTCTCTCTCTCTCTCTCTCTCTCTCTCTCTCTCTCTCATACTATTTTAACTTTCTCTGTATTTGCACTCGCGCATCATTTGTAAGCAACTTGTTATATTATTTTGTTCCACATTATATTATTTGCTTCTATTTTTCTTGTAAATTCAGCTTTCTCTTAATTAATAAATCATTTGATCTACAACTATTTTGAATAATAAATATTTTATACCACAATTTTTTACTACATTATATATATATATATTTATATCGTATTATATTCTTCTTTTACTAATGTTTTTTGTCAATATAGATAGGTTTTATGAAAAAATAGATAATTATTTACATCGTTTAATTTTTTGAACATCAGCTAATAATTAGATAATTTAGTTTATTTAAATTTTAAAACATAACAAATATAATTATTAAATACATATTAAAAGCATATAAAATGTAAGAATTTTCGTATAAAAACATTTTCAGATTGTTTTAGGATATACACTCGAACATAATATAGTAAACTTCAATTTCCTAATAGTTTTTTATTTTGTATTCAATAAAAGCAATGTATAGTCATTTAATTCCAAAAATATTATTAAAAATAACATTTTATATTAATACAAATTATCAAAGAATGTATTAAACGAATCATACTAAATTATTAATTTTTAATTAATTAGATTGCGCAAGTTACTGAAAAAAATACTATCCAGAATGTAACAAAAAGGATATATGTATATATATATATATATATATGTGTGTGTGTGTGTGTGTGTGTGTGTGTGTATTATTATGATAAATAAAATTATAAGAGGGAGACCAACAAAAAAGTGGAGGAAAATGAACAGTTTATAGACAGTGAAAGTATAGAGTTTACAAATGCTATTTTAATTAGTATAATATGTGTAGGCCTTAAATTTAATCGATCATTTTTTCATATATAAGTAATACAATATTATTCTAATTGAGAAGTTTCCAAATTTAAGTACATTAAGTATATTTATTTAATTAGACGTGAAAGTTACATTTAGTACGATCTGTAATAAGTATACTATATTAATTATAATATCAAATATTGAATCTTCCACTTGAAAAAATATGATTTTAATTATTTAATTTGCTAAAAAATTTAATACGTAGTTGTTTAAAAATTTAATATTAAATGTATCTAATTCAACCACTTATTACAAACATTACGTTTGGACGTAATATCAGTAATTATTACAGATTAGTTCATTATAAAATATGAATTATAATACAGTAATTAATACAGAATGATCTAATATAAGATCTTTGTACAAAAATAATATAAATTATATTATGTATATCTGAAATCTCTGGTTTGAAATAATGGATACATTTTCAAGATTTTTGTTTGTTATCAAAAACACAACAAACGTCTGTCTATATCCTATTAGTTATTTTATTTAAGTAAACTATTTACTTTCAATAATTCACTACAATTCGGTATTTGTCAGTACACGTCAATGTCATATGTGGTAAACTATATATTGTAAATTCTAAGAATTATTTTAAAGCTGTGTTCAGTAAATCAGTGAGCATTTTTGGTATTACTTTAGTATTATTAGAAATTAAAATACTTATGTTGAAACAATAACTAATTCTAATCACAAAATAACATCAATTTTTATTAAAAATAATTAACTTACAATATGAAAATGCCATGAGTATAAATTATTATTTAAAATTAAAATGTAATTGTAACAAGTAATATCTATTTATAACAAGAAAGTTGACAAGAAAAAGATAAAAAAATTTAAAAAGAATGATTTAAATTCTATATAGAGTTAGAGAGTATGTAATACATTGAACATCTATATATAAAGTTATTAAATAACTATTATTAAAATTTAAAGGTCCATATGCAGTTTAAAAATTATTTAATTATAACTAATATACGAGTACAAATATAGATAGGAAAATATAAAAATATAAAAATATAAAAGATTCATAATTGTCCAAACTATAAAACTATTAAATCTAAATCTTGACAATTAATTTTTCAATTAGTTTTTAAAGCTCTCGATATCTCTATTTATTTTAGATCATACATTAATGAATGAAAAGAGAAAATACTTTTTTACCATCATTTCTAAATCACTTTCAAAACTTCACTTTCATTATTTAATTAATAAGACTTTATAATTACATAATCAAGAGTTTTAGACAGAAAATAATATCTAAATATTATTTTTACTCTGCTTAACATATTATTAATGAAAGATAATTTATATACTTTATTATTCATACCTTACTATATACTTTGGTTACATTAATTCTTCATAAAAAATTAATTTATTAATTGAAATACAATTATTAAAATTTGCTGTTAGAGGCTTGTGATGAATATTATATTCGATGAATTATTAAATATTATATAGTCGACTTCTTCAATACTATCATGTAATAATTAATAAAAGTTATGATATCATTTGGAATAACAACAAATAAAAACATGTATTATAAAATAATTACATGAATATTATATCATTTTTATAGATTTTTGTATCTATAAAAAATATTAAATAGCAATATTTGAGCTTCTACCATTATAATAGTGCATTTACATCAAATAAAAAACGTTTACTAAATTTACGTCAAGTATAAAAAGATGTATTCATGGATATTAAATAAAAAAAAGATTATATTTTATAGTACAGTCATATATAGTACAATGAAGATAAAATGATTGGCCAACAACCTTGAACTAGTACCAAATTATCAGATTATATATTTAACAGCAACAATTGTTTTCAAATTTGGAATTGAGAATTATTGTTTTAAAATTTAAATTTATATTTTAGATAATGTATTTCGACCTCGGCATATAATTTGCATTACTACTATGCACCTAATTATGATAGAAGATATGGCTCTTTTAATTTTGTGTGAAGGGAAATACGAAACGATACCAAAATGTATATTATATTATATATACTATATATTTTCTATATATATGTAGGTTCTAAGGCCCCTTACACATTTACCTTTATTTATTGTTACTAATTTATTAATTTAATTTAATTATTTCTTTAATTATTATCACAAATAACTTCAATAATTTCACAAATTCAAAAATGTCAAATCACATTTAATAAATTTGCACGTATATATCTTACTTTATATACCATTTTTATATAATTTAATATCTTAAAAATTTCAATTAACAGAGTCTAATAAAATTATCTTTTTTTGTTACAGTAAAGAAAGCGCGATATATAGGTGTTCAAGGTAAGTATCTAATTTACCTTAAATAAGAAAAAATGTAATACAAAACGTATTCTGAGTGTCTTATATTTTTTCCAATTACCTAAAATTATAATTGCATAATATATATTTATATATATTGCCATACGAAAAATATTTATTTGATATATACGAATATATATTGCCATACGAAAATTTTTTATTTGATTATATAAATAAGATATAATATTCGGTTCAAATCATAATATGAATAATAATAGTTCACTAAATAAGTTAACTTTTATAATTTTACTTTTTTCTTGATGTATTCTGATGTCTTTTAAAAAAACATACGCGTTTTATACTTTAATATAATATAAAAATTAACTTTTATTCAACATTATAAATTTAACGTAAACGTTAATAGAAATTATATTTCAATTATTAATTGCATAAAGCTTACATAAATTAAATTTGTTTTTAAATAAAAATAATATTACACGTTGTAAACATATGAATGTACAAATAACTATATATTATTGAAAATACATATCTTTGTATTTTTTCACTTAGAGAACATTTTTATCTTTTTTATATATATAAAATATTAATAAAATTTTATTTTAAAGAAATAAAGCTTAATAATCATGCTTTGTTATGAATTTAGAACGTATATATTTTATTAAATATTTTTTAAATAATGAATTTATATAAGAATTAAATATTTATTTATATCTTAATAGAAAACATTGAATGAATTTCATTTTATAGCACAACAATTCAATACCTATGTAACATTAAAATTACAAAATGTTAAATCAACAACTATCACTGTCAAAGGAGCTAATCCATGTTGGGAGCAAGATTTCCTATTGTAAGTACAAATATAATACATTATATATATATATATATATATATATATATATATATTATTCGGGATTGAAGCAACTTCCAAGACCGTTGACTATAGGCATCGCTAGTCTCTAGCACTCAAGTTTCTGTAAACACTTGGGACGAGAATTTCAGTGATTCTACATACGAGATTTCAGTACAGCAACAACGATGCTTTGTTGTCAGCTAAGTAAGCTGCCGCGTGGATATATAAGGCAAGCACGTGACGAGCCTCGTTCTCTTGCAGTGAACCGACATAGGCGTGTGTGAATATATACACTTCAAAGTCACACATCCTACACAGGGGTTTGAACATATCTCTGCTAGTTCATACAACATTAGCAGAGGCCACGACATCGTCACCATCGAGGAGCAACCTCATCATTGAGACAAGACAGTTTACACTCTTCTATAAAAAGTGAATCCGGCTTATTATTAATGTAACTGTTAATAAACTATATGTTAACGAAGATTGCATATTCTACAACTTTTCCACTTGACTCGCACCTGAGCATCTGCTAGAGCGGGCGGCAAATTATTAAAGCTATCGATACACTGGCAGTTCGAGCCAGGAATTAATACCACTTTCGAACACACACATATATATATATATATATATACATATATATATTAATATATCTTTTATCTGAATGAATTACAATAAAATGCATATATCAGTATTATTTAATTTTAAATAATTTTTGTATTCCATAAGCTAATTCATATGATTCAATTCAAATTATTTTAGAAAATTTTTGTTTATTTATTGATCAAAATTATACATGATCATCTTAATATAAAAAGATTTTTAATTTATCTATTTAAAATTATAGGATATAACATATTTTGTTAATAATACACGTTATGATATACGAGATCACTCAGTTTTTAACATTTGCAGACATTAGATAATGATTATACTAATAAATATTAGGAAAATACTTCAAACTATGTGATATATGAATTTTCTTATACGTTTAAGATAAGTAAGCACATTGTATGCTCCTTTTGACAAAATAATATCATTGTGAATTATTGACTTTTGTAGAAGCTTATAAAAGTAAAATGAATATTAACAAATATTTAGATAAATTTTACGATGAACAGAGATTGTTGAACTGGTCTGATGGTGATCAAAACAAAATAATGTGTTAATAATGCAAAGAATTATATTTTTTCCGAAAGAAAGAAGTGACTTTTTTGTGTGTAATACCCGTATTATATTATTATTTAATAATAACAAAGTTAAAAAAATCAAGCTATATGTCTAAAACATTAAATAAAGGTGATATTGTGTATTAAATGCTGAATTAGTGTTCGAGATTGCGAGAACCGTTTCCTATGCCATAAAACATCTGGAAAAATAAGATCGTTAAATTGTCGTTAGACTTCTGAAAAGTCCTGCCCATAAAAATCTGATAAAACAAATCGTAAGACACGGGAAAACCTAACTCATTAGGCGTCAAGTTATCATGCGATCGCCAGATGCGTCAAAGGCAACGAGATCCGAGAGTTCTTCTTATCGTGAAGATCAAAAGAAGTTTAAGCTTCGTAATTGAAAATGAAGTCACGAGAGGTGCTGCCCTCGCTCTGTGAGTGGGAAGCTCTCTGATTGGACAAAAAAGGATAGGGATTCCAAGTGAAAACCATGGTCAGTGAATATATTTAAGAGAGACAATTACAAGATTCAATCACTCTCGGTAAAGTCCGTATTCAAATAGGAAGTAGCAAGTCCTTCAAAATGTAATCTAAAGACAAACTTTCTTTGAAGTCCTCAAGGAAAAGAGACATATAAAATTGCCTTATCGGAGTTCGAAAATAGGTACTAGTTCAAGTCCTTGTTGAAGAAGGAAGCGGTAAAGTTCCTCAATTGAGTCCAAGATTAGTCTTCGTAAGTAGTATCATCTACTTTAGGCATCATATCCATCATTTAAGATTCAGAAGTCTAAGAAGCCAGGTTATCGAGTATACGTAAAGGATTGAGGCCATCTCACAGGTACACGTAAAATAATCTAAATTAATTCTACTGTCTGTACACGAGGAGAAGCACGTGCCCCATAGGTCCGTAGCACGTGTCGTCAAGTCTGCAAGCCATTTACGCCCACCGTGTCGACCTAACCTCTTTCCTAGCTAGAGTCCTACGCTGACGAAGCCAATCTTCGCGCCATTCTGCGCTCATAGCAGAACAAACACGCAGCACTACTAGAAGAAGTGATAAGAATTTATAACTAATCACTTCCCAGGGGATAGCATCAGTATTGTTCGATTTTAAAAGTTTAGTTTATGGCTCGAACTACGAATTCAATAGTTCAGTGGATTAGTCTCTCGGCAGGATAACTTCAAAGGAAACAATAACAGACAAGGCTGAAAAATATCGTTTATTTAGTAAAAACAATGTTTATTAATGTAAATAATTATAACAATATTGCACTGTTGTGTAGAGATAAATAATTCTATTGAAGTGTCAAATGATGTGTTCTTGTATTCTTAAATTATTGTAGTTCTATGGATATGACTAAGTATCTTGAAGTTGAAGTAATGCTGATGTTGTAAATATCAGCTGGTGTAGTCAGTCAACCATGCTTGTGATGTAGCATGAGAAGATGGTGTTTGAATCAAGTACGCTCGATGTATGAATAACTATACTTGATATGGTGTAAGATGTTTAATGGAATATATTACGTAATCAATTGTATCTTTATTTATTTATGGGATCGGTAGAAGAGCTAGTTACACACAAGTATCATTGATTATAAACCTTAGAAATCTTCAGGATTTCTGGAAAATGTCTTTACTGTTGATCAATCGATATATTGAAGTCCGGCCTTGACTTACTGTGTCATTGAGTTGACTATTTAGAGAATGCGCAACCACGCGCTCATCACCTGGTGGCTATTAGAAGGAATGCGCGACCACGTGCTCATCACTTGGTGTTTATTTTAGAGAATGCACGACTAAGTGTCCATCACCTGCCGACTGCGTGAGGGGATGCGAAATTGCCTAGGTTTCTTGTGCTAGATGTGACTAGTTTATTTATTAATATAAAAATATGTACCTTATAAAATGCAGGCAAGGTGCTTTACTGCTGTGTGATTAATGTTTCCTTTGATTACTATTCCATTGGCTTCACTGTAATCACTATTTAAAACTGCCGATTTCCTTTTCTTATGCACGCGTGTAGTCTTTACTATGATCTAATCTGCTGATTTCTTATTCGTATGCACGCGCGTAATTTTAACTATGATGACGATTATATGGCCACGCGTCGTCTTCACAGTACACTATACACTGAGCGGCAGTTACGCTTGAGTGAGCGCGAAGTGATATTACAAATGAGCGTATGAGCCTTTTGAATACACGCACGAACCGAAGGCTTGATCGTTCCGTGGCGGATCTGCTGAAAATACCGACCGTTCCATGGCGGTCCTGCTGAGGACAGATCGAGGCCCGTGTGCCATGGCTTCTACTGGTAGGTGATTGAATCGGTTCACTATGGTCTGTCACTGCGGTCGGGTCACGGCAAGATGTTAGCCGCAAGCGCAGTTGAGCGAGGGTGGTACAAGAGATGATTTTTAGCGAGAGGTATCTTCAGCAAGAGAGGTACTTTCAGCAAGAGAGGTCGAGACGCGCCGCGTGCGTCCCTTATATAGGCACGCGGCGGCTCACTTAGCTGGCAACATGGCATCATCGTTGTTGCACTAATTTTTACACGAGGCGTCGAAGGAAACATCTAGAACCTTCGAGAATGTTCGATGAGAGAAAAGTAGGAGTAATACCCTTGGGTGATCTTACAGTATATTATATTTCGGGTCGTAAACTTGCTCGGACTTGCCGAGTTTTGTTTGTAAATATTCGCTCGAGTATCCGTCCCGGTCCGCACGTGCGGGCCAGTCTAGCCGCACATGCGGTCAGTCTAGGCGCACATGCGGTATGCCGGACAGCGAGTATGACCTTTCTTTTGTTTGAAATTCATGGGCCTACATCAATCCCGAACAAGTATACTATGCCAAGAGAAGCAAAATATTACATCCAATTATCTCTGGTTAAAGTACGCTTGCTACAGCACAGCGTGATCTGCTCAAACCAAGAGTTCAACAATTGATAACAGCAATAAAAATCATCTTTGTATCTGGAATTTAACGAAATAAACAGCATAACAAATAGATGTATTGGCATTGAATTAATTACACTATCCCTTCCACTTGCCGCATATCGCTACTACATAACATCTCCTGGTCTCTGAGCTGTCTGCATAAACAATTTTGTATCCTTCGAACCGGCCTTGATAAAACGAGCAGGATCACAGGACACATTTTGTACAATTAGTTATACTTATTTTCTTATAAATATGTCAATAAAATTTGATTATTGAAAATTTAAGTATAGACAATCATCTATGTGAAAGTCATTTCAAAATTTTTATGTTTATTTTTAAACAAACTTCAAGTAGAAATTTAATTTTCCTTGATATCATACTTGTATTATAAAAGGAACGAGCGTCTGGTCGCATCTTACTTGAGTTGGCAGGAACCGCTGTAGTAGTAGTCGTAAGAACGAGCGTCGGCGTTACTTACATGCGGGCGTAAACGTCGTGATGTGTGCTTGTTAACTAGTAAGAAGTAGTAAGAAACAAGCGTTTGCGTTGCTTACGGAGGCGTGGGTGCCAGTATAATTGTGGCATCACTATTAGTTCCTTAGGTTGCTTGATGCTTGCCATGGCCTCCCAATGGCGATGGCAGGGTTGGATAGCGAGCCCGATGTGAAGAGTGCACGATTAGTACTAGTAAAAAGCAATCGCGACACATGCAGCTCCTTACATATTCTCGTACGAAATGGCTGCGCCAATAGCGCATCGGTGGTTGTTACCATGCCGCTATTTGTCGTGACGTCAATAGGGCATGGCTTTGTAGGGTTCATTTGTTAATACTTCTCAGAATTATAGTCGTATATTAGAGTTTTTCGGCTAGAAGCATTCTTTGAGTC